ATGGGTCAAGAAATGCCTAACGCCCTTTTCAACGCCTTCCTGAGTAGGACCAGGATTCCCCAGGTAAGGGATCCAAGAAAGCGAGGTGGCAGGAAGAAAGATAGCTGTCTGGCTCAACCATATTTCATTCTAAATCCAGAGAATTAGGAATAATCCTCGCACAGGAAACGTTTTAGTCTTCCGCTTCAAGGGTCGGTTAAGTCCAGTAGAATTATTAGGCCTGCCTGAAACTCAGCTCAGTCTCAGATAACAACTCTGCCAATAACACTCATTTTAAGCTTTCTTTAGCGATAAGTTAAAAAAACAACAACCTGAAGTATATAGAATAATATGATGGATGCTTATATGCCCATTACCCAACTTTGACAATCTACAAATAACTCTTGATTTCCAGTCTGAAATGAGAAAATGGATTTTGCTTTTGTTTCAGAGAAACAGGAATTGAAGAAAGGAAACTACCCATTCACCCAACCACAAGCATGAGGTTTATTTACTGGCAACCAAATCATAATATTGAATGTTACCCTGTAAAATATTACCTATGTTGTTCTAAGTTCTTGGAAAGTGATACTCTTGGTTTTGGCTCTGAAATCCCCAAAGTCATCAAAACCATCAACTCCTCCCAGCAGGTGCACATACGAGGCCCGAAGAACACAGAGGTCACTGTGGCCACCTGGGGGGATCAGCCACAGCTCAAGGTGAGACAGCAGACCGAGCCTGACACCAAGACTTCTAAGTGATGATGAAATAATTCTCTCTCGCATCAGGTGGCACAGCCAAGTTGGCCTCACAACTGTCCACCTCTCCTGCATTTTTCTTACTGAGTCATCATGACCATGTCACATACCTCTCGCAACCAAAAATTCCCTCCCCAACACCTTATCTTTAATTATAAAACAAATTTTTTAATGGAAAATGGTACTTAGGGTCCCTCTGACATTCAGAATCAGCTTAGGAAGCATTTATACCTGATGTTATTGGAAAAAAATTAGCAAATTATTCTCAATACCTAATTGTGATGTTAAAATAAAAATTCTTGCTTGCAGAAACAGCTGAAATAACAGTGCTGTGGCACCTATACCCTGGCAAGGCATGTCTTCTTAAAAAGCAGGATATTATATACGATAGTGAGCATGAGCCCTGGAGGGCCTGGGGGAACCCCACTCGAACCCTGTCCTGGAAGGCCCCGTGGCTGCCCCTGAAAGTGGGGTGAAAGCTCTGTGCTCCTCAGGAGGGTGAGCAGCCAATCTGAGGCTAACTGGTCCAACTTGCCTCTAGATGATTGGGCTCACGGTGTGCCAAACACATTTCATGTAACACACGTTCTGTTCTCAAAGTGTGCTTTCAAATATAAGCATTCAATCATTACTCTTTATTCAGCTGATCAGAGGTCCCAATGGCCATCAGCATTTGCGGCTCTGGTTAAGAGGCCCCACGTCGGGGTCTGCAGCCTGACTTGGTGAGAGGATTCTGGCTGTGATTTCCTAGTCCGGTCCTCCCTAACTCACTCATCATTTCTTCATTGACAATTCTGAGCACCTATTTACATGTCAGGTGCTGTTTTAGGGACTCAAAATTATATGGTAAGTTCCTAGCTCATGGGGGATATAGTCTCTTCCACACTACTGGCCAAAAGAGGGTGCTGTGCCCTGTTTGTCTTACAGGCAGTGTACCTGCAGGGTCCAGAGCCGGGGCTCTGGGGACACGCAGCTCTGCCCCTTTAAAGCTGCGTGACCTTGGGGACGTGGCATGACCTCTCTACTTTGGTTTCTGTGATGGTAATTTGGGATCAGTGTCTGCACAGAGGGGAGTTGTAAGGATCAAATGAGCTGACACTCTTGCAGCACTTAGGCCTGGCTCATGGTCAGTGTGGGAGAAATGTCAGCTACTGTCCTCGCGGGCTGGAAATAAGACAATGCAAACAGTGCCAGACGCTGAGGGAGACCTCACTGTGCTGCCTGCCTTTTTTGTTTTTAGTTCTGAGGGAGACGAAGACACAGCTTCCATATGTACACTTAAATGGCAAACTTCATGTGCTATTCCATGCATTTCCATCTTTGCTCTTTACAAGAGCCAGGAAATAAAAATATGTGGTTGATGGGCAGGAGTCTAGAAGCAGCAGCAGAGCGAAGCCAAGGACCAGCCACGGACTTACGGAGCGGGATGGCTTATCTGTACACCTGAATTGGGTGTTGACAATAACTTGGTGAGACTTAATCACGAGAGGACTAAAGTGCCAATTCAAAAGGCACTTAGGTACTTGTGAATCGAGTTAGCTGTCAAGTAACAGCTTACTCTTTAAGGGCCCCCGGGCTCACGTCCCCAGGGCTCCAGGAGCAACCAAGCACACTATGTTGTCACTTGGAAGGTATGTATCTTTAATAACAGCAGCAGCCACAAGGTTCTTCCTCCCTGCAGGTCCTAACGCACCATATTTGGTACTGCAGTAATTTATTTAGGAAAAAAAAAAAAAAAAAATTTAAAACCAGTCCTTGTGTGGGGTCCTTTTATATAATTTCAGGCTCTGACTATGCACCTTGGGATTGCAGCTAACAGGGTGAGGGCCAAAATTTGTTATGCAATTGTGCGCAGAGGAATTTATTATGTGGATAAACTGCATGAATACTAGTGTTTCTGTTTTTCTCTGAATAATGCTGGCTGATTGTTTATTACACATTAACCTTGCTATTATCTTATTTCATTGAATCCTTTTGCTACTCTGCAGTTACTCAAAATCCTATTTAAATATGCTGCTGAGAAAAATACTTTCAAATCGTTCTAGAGACTTTCTTGGGTCCTTCCCGAGGTTCCCGAGTGAGAGAAGGTGGCAGGTGGGCGATCATATAAAAAACACCTGGGGAAGCTGCAAATGATTTCCTCCCTATGACCACACTCCCCATCTCTCCCAACACAGAGCTAAAGAGCACAGATGAAGAGAGATTAACAAGGGAAATAGAAATCGGGGCATTAGTAAACTGAGATGACATTTGGGAGCAGGGTCAGCAGGCAAAAATGCAGCTGAATCCAACAGACTTCAGTTTATCCCAGCTCAGCCACATAGTGGCAGGTGGTCTTGGAGGAAACGATCTAGGCCTCTCCGAACCTTTTCTTCTTTCAGCTCTGCGATGGACTAGTCAGGTGTTCAGCACGGCGCTGCCAGCGAGGCCCACCCACAAAGCACTTACCCACGCAATCTGGCTGGGGACCTTCTTCGTCTCCCGGTTTGAAGTTAACTAGGAACTGTCCCTGATTCACCTTAGTGTCCAATGGTGTATGTGGATTATGGGAGGTTCTTAGTAAACTTTTTTGGAATTAATGGCTTAAGGAAAGCTGCCATTCTTTTCTCAAACAAGGCAAGATTAGATTACAACTCTGTGCATATATTGCAGACACCAAACTGTGATCAAACGAGCACTCACTCCCTAAGCAAGCTACAGATGTGAGAATAAATCAGTTAGTTTCACATACTATTTCTACTCACCAACGGCTCTCCACTCACCACGGAAACTATGCTAATGGTGAAGGAGAGGAGCGTAGAAGGGTTGCCTTTCTCCACGTACTTTCAGAAAGGCCTTTTTAATTTTTTTACAAGTTTTCCTTTCACATCTATGATTCAAGATTTGTGATGTTAAAGTTAAAAAAGTAGTGTTTACTGGATGATGCATTTCTGTGTTCAATTTTTCTGACATTATCAGGCACACGTGTGTACTTCAATATTTCAAGCTGACCACAGATTACCCTAATTCTTAGGGACAGAGAGTCCCACCTTTCTCTGTTTTGACAAGTCACCCTTCCTTGTATAGCTGGGCGCCCACCAGGCACACATATTTCTGTGCGCTCCTTTCTCCAGAACTGAAATGCTGCTTTCAGGGGAAGGGAGGAACATACATGTGAGGGAGGGAGTGATTTCCACGAAATGGTCACCTGGAAGCTATAAAGTTGTGAAGTGTGGCAGCTGTGCTCTGAGTAGAGTAATGGTGAGGGAATCGGTGATGTCAATAGGACTGGAGTCCTCAAGCTTAAATTTTTACATGATTTTTTAAGGTCATTAATAATGCTAACCCCTCAGAGGTTAATGAAGCAAGTCAGGCAAACTCTGAAGACTGAGTTTATGAAAATTTAGGTAGAAGCAAAAGCCTTCTTGATAGCAGACTTAGCCCACTGAATGAGTTTCTGAAAAGTGTTGTTGGTTCCTTGTTTTTAAAAATTCCAGAAGGATCCATCTTCAACAGATTAATTTTGGACCCACTTTAGGTCCCTTTACACGCAAATGTGCTTCTTAATGGCTAATCTCTCTATTGGGTCTGTCAGTATAAATATTCAGTCTCTTTTCTGTAGAAACCGACATGGAGAGAGGATTAAGGCTGATGTGAATCAGTGTGCAGAGAATCTTTCCAGGACGTGGGAAGTGGGCTGAAAAAGGGTTTGGGAAGTAAGACTAGTTCAGGAAGCCTCAGGCTCCTCTCTTTTAACAGGATGGCAGGTAGTAAATGTAGGACTGAAACGTAAGTAAAAGCCCGAGAGGAACTGCAAAGCCACAGACACCTTGAAATGAAAAGTAGAACGGATGCTCAAAGTGAGGGCAGCAGGCAGTGGAAAGTGCTTCCAAAGGCTCCAGGTTCCTTTTCTAGCTGCTAGGACTCCTGGGTTTGTGGGAGCTACAAGCTGAACAGGCGATGCTGGAGTCCTGGGGCTTATTTCCCATTTTATTTCACTGCATTGGTCTTTGGATGTTAATTAGACTTGAAGTGAACTGCATTAAAATGTATATTTGCTTGTGAATTATTCAGATAAGCATACCTGCAGTGGTAAAACAAAGACCCCACGATTCTCACTGTAAATCTGCAACATTTCCCCCAAATGATAAATTTTTCTGCAACTGGTAACAGCATGAAGCAGAAACTATGCCCAAGGAAATAAAAAACAAGTAAGGACATAGTGGCAGAAGCGTATCCCACACGAGACACTCGCCAGGGATTCATCAGAACCTCGAGGTTTACCTTCGCACACGGGGCAGCACTCCCCGGGCACCTTGACGGGGTTCATGCAGCTCTGCCCGCAGACCGTGGCCACGCAGTGGGGCTCCCCATTGATGCACTGGCAGAACGTGCAGTCGTCTTCCCGCCACCGGTCTCCATGGGCGCGGATCTGCCCGTTGGCGTAGCAACCAGCAGGATTATTGAATGGATACACCGGATCTAAAGGAAAACGTGAGTTCACAGTAAGACTGGCGGCATCCTACACCTTCTCTCTGCCTGTACCTGGAGATGGCTTTCCCCGGTCCTAGCTATCTGCAGCTCTTTTCCAGCTGGGATTTGCAGCAGCTCAGGGTTGGGTGAGGTGTCTCTTGGGGGACATGCGAAAGCCACTGTCATACTCAATTTCTGTCCACCCAGCCTGCCACTGCACAAAGGATGGGACACGTGGCACAAAAACCAATGTGTGGGTGCAGTTGCTTCATCGAGTTGCCAGCTCTGGGCACAGAGCTGGGGCTGGTAATTAGAAAACTCAGATGGACTTCTGGCTCAGACAGCGTCGTCCAGGCCGTCCAGTTACGTTTATCACACCTGGATTTCACTGCCTGTGGGTGGGAGGAGTAATGCCCCACCTAACTCAGAGCAACACTGTTACTTCTGGGACGAGCAGAACTCCATCGCATGGTGCCCGGAGGCCCGTGGGGACAACAGGGAGGAGTGAGCGGGCCCTCGCTGTGGCCTTGCTCACAACAGGGCTGGCTGAGACAGGCCGCGGGCCACTGCTTGTGCCCTGGAGGCAGAACTGTAAACCTCGATATACAGGGGTGGGCAAAAGTAGGTTTACAGTTGTTCCGATAGAAAATACAATAATTGATAAAGTAATAATATAGGAGTGAACTGTTTTGTGTACTCACAACTGTAAACCTACTTTTACCTACCCCTGTATTTCTCCCTGTGAGCTGGGCAGCCAAGCAGCAGCTGAGGTTAGAAGAAAGAGTAGCCAAAGCTATTGTAAAATAAACTGTTTTCTGAGCTTATTGACCAGGACACAAATGCTGCATACAAAGTCCCCAAATACCATTATAATGAGAGGAACTGGATAAATCACTTAATTTTCTTTTTCAGAAACACACACAATCTGGTCTCCACAGCAAGTGCTGCTGTGGTTGGGGCGAGTCCACACAGCTGTGAGTCTGGTCCTCTTTATTCTGAAGAGGTAACAGGGCGTAGTAAGAAAGAGGCCACTGCTTTAGAAAGGCAATCTGCCAGAGATGGAAGCGGCCAAGTGACCCGAGTCAGATAAGACTTTATAAATTGCTTTATAAAAAAATTACATTTCTACTCTGAGCCTGGGTTTAAATTCCAGGAAGTGAGACATACCCGGATTCGTGCCCAGGCAACTCAGTATGATTATTACACAGAGGGGTAGCTATGTTTTCACACCAGCAACTGCTATGTAGTTTCAGGGACTATCACCAACTGGGGGTAGCTCGGGAACAAATCAATGGGGAAGGTTCAAAGTCCGATGTGATTTTTAAAAATCCCAACGACACCTAAAAAGCGAACCACCTTCCTCCCATGTTGGCTGAAATAATTTCTAATCGGGGAAAGGACTTCACTGCTATGAACTACGGTTCAGTGTTAGGAATACAGTTTGTATACTTTAAACATTTTCAGATCTTCAATATGATGTGCTCAACACAGCTCAAACATTGGAAAGGAGTTTGGAAAGACAGAGAAGAGCATGGCGCATGGCATGGCATTCCGCCCTCCCATTTCATCCGCCAGGCGAGGCTGAAACGTCCGGCTCCGGGCTGGAGGTCTGTGGCCCGTCAGGACAAGCAGGCTCACGTGGCCTTCCTACCTGGCGAACAGCGTGGTGAGTGCAGACAGACACACACACAGGCAGGGAGCGCTGTTCCTGGCTTCACTGCAAGCTCAGACAAGGGGCTACTTTCCTGGACTTTAGTACCCTAATCCCTAAAAGGTATGGACTGCAGCAAGTGAAATTCAGAGTTAGCATCCTGAAAATGTTTATTATTTCTGAATACCTGTTGGAGGAATGGGAACTATTACTTCTTGGAGGGGACAAGGGCACAGAGAGCGAGCAGGCTCCTAAGAGCCTCTGACACTTGGCTGGGCTTTGAGCTGGTGTCACCACCATGCCACCAACGACCCCACTCTCACCTCCACCCATTCTCAAAGGACAGGGAGCAGCAGGGTCCTGACCCCTTTGCAGGGGCTGGGGAATGGAAGGGACACGGGTGAGCTCCTCTCTGAGCTGACTGGCTGCGACTGTCAGGGCCGAGGGCCGTCCTGTCCTAACTGGGCAATCTAAGGTGAGCAGGAGGGAAGGCCAGCGTCGCGGTGAACAGAATGTCCCCAGGCCTTGCTAAGGAACTGCTGGAACGGCAGGGCAGGAACACGCTGACAGTGCGACAGGTGACCTGTCATCTACACCCAGGGCGTAACCTCCCTCGGGGTAGTATTTCCCGTCCGTGTGGCATTAACGAAGTCCTAAAGGAGACCAGATGTCATAAAGAAGGAGCTCCTTCAGTAATCCCGTTTCAGGGCGAGGCCCCGCGCCCCGCCGCCCCCTCCAGCGGGCACCCTCACCTTCGCACACCGGGCAGCACTCCCCCTCGGGCACGTAGTACCGCTCGCAGCTCAGCTCCCCGCACTGGGCGGTGAAGCAGATGGCGACGCCACCCTGGCACCGGCAGAACCGGCACTTGTCCAACCGGAACATATCCCCGTCGTTATATTCCACGTTGTTGAACACGCAGGCTGGCTTCGTTTCTGGAGGGGTTCAAACCAACAGGCGTGTTCAGTCATTTCGGAGCGGTGCCCTTCGTGTCTCTCAAACAGCCTCTAGAAAACTCTCTTAGCAGGGGGTTATCATCCAATGAAAATTTACTACAGGCGACATAATTTTTTGTGACAGCAATAGAGCAATGTAACGTAAAACAAACAAAACATACTGTTACCCTCTGCCCCGAAGAAATGAAATTCCTCTTAGGAAAACCTACACGGACTCCCCCATCCCAAATAAAGGAAACTGCGTGACCATGGCGCTCACATCACTGACCTGTGCTTTAAAGAAATTACACTTGTTTTGTTAAACCAATTTGTTGCCTCAAATAAATGATCCTGTCTTCACATTAGGTTTTGTTCTGCCTCAAAAAATTTACCCAGGCCTTTCGGAGGTGAAATTCTTCTCTTCCTCCCGTGTTCTCACCTGCATTCTTTTTTCTCTCTATGCGGTTTAATAATTTGTAACTTTAATCATACTTGGCTTTTAACAAAGCTCTTTCCACATGCATTACTTTATGTAACCCCAGTAACAAGAGCCTGATGTAGATGTTACGATCCCAAGTTCAGAAGTGAGGAGATGCAGGGTAATTTGCTGAAGTCACCCATTTAGCAAATGATAAAAGCAAAAACAGGTCTTCAACTGAATCCCGTGGACTTGCCATCGCATTTCAACGTTGTGCCCTGCTAAGGACTGGAAGTCCTGCATTTAGAATTCTCATCAGGATACCAATGACTTAAAATGTTTTCTCTGCCCTGAAAAACTCTCCCTACATTCATTCCTTATCTTTAATTTTGGTTGACTTAAAAGAACTCCCATTGGACAAAGATATCACAAGAAAAAGAAAACTATAAATCAATATTCCTTGTGAATATAGATATAAACGCCCTCTGAAAAATACTAGCAGACTGAATCCAGCGACATATTAAAAAAGATAAATATCATGACCAATGGGATTTATTCCAAGAACGCAAAGTTGGTTTAACATCCAAAAATCAATTAATATAATATGCCATGTCAATAGACTAAAGAACAAAAAACCGAAAACAAAGAAAAAAAACAAGCAAAAACCCACACACATACAATCAACTCAATGACACAGAAAAATCATTTGACAGAATCATATACCCTTTCATGATAAAAATATTCAGTAAATTAGGAAAAGAGACCATCTTCAACTTGGTCAACGGCATCTATGAAAATCTCACAGCTAACGTGACTCAGAAGTGAAAGACTGAGTCCGCTCCCCGTAAGGTCAGGACTGAGACAGCGATGCCCACTCTCACCACCCGACAGCGTTGTAGCGGAGGCTCCAGCTGAGGCAATTGGGGAAGAAGAGAGAGAAACAGCATCCAGGTTGGAAGGGAAGGAGTAAAACTACCTCCAGTTGCAAATGACATGACCTTGTACATAAAAAAATTCTAAGGAATCTACCAAAACAGCATCAAAGCTAATAATGAACAAGTTCAATAAAATTTCAGGCTAAAATCGCAACTCAAACAAACTGTATATCTAAACACCAGCCACGAACCATCTGACAGTGATGTTAAGGAAACAATCCCATTCACAGTAGCATCAAAAAGAATGAAATATTTAGTAATAGATTTAATAAATGAAGAGCAAAACATGTACTCTAAAAACTAGAAAACATTGTTTAAAGAAATGACAGGAGGGCTAAATAAAGGGAAAGAAATCACATGTTCATGAACTGGAAGATAATACTGTGAAGATGAACGTATTCTTGAAACTGGCTACGTATTCAATGCAATCCCTAATGGAACACTAGCTAGTTATTTTGCAGAGACTGCAAACCAATCCTAAAATGTGTATGAAAATGCAAGGGATCCGGGATTGCCAATACAGCACTGAAAGAACAAAGCTGGAGGACTCAGAATTCCTGATGTCAAGACCTGCTACGATACTCCAGAAATCAAGACAGTGTGGTACTGGCCTAAGAACAGACCTATAGTTCAATGGAACTGAGAGTTTAGAAATAAATTCTTACTTTTATTGACTTTTGACAAGGGTACCAAGACAATTCATTGAGGGAAAGAATTGTCTTATCAACAAATGGTGCTGGGAAAAGATAAACACATGGTAAAAAAAATAAGCATGAACCACTCACTATGCATCAGAACTATGATCTCACTGTCACAGCTACAGCTACAGAGCGCGTAGAAGAAAACAGAAATAAACCTTTGTGACTCTGGGTTAGGCAATGGTTTCTGAGAAATGACACCAAAAATACAAGCAATAAAAGAAAAATAGAGTTAAGATGGATTTCACCAACTCTTGTCCTTTCAAGAACACCATCCAGAAAGTACAAAGGTAACCTACAGAATGGGAGAAAATACTTGCAAACTATAGAAAGGCGTTGCATTTAGAACACACACAGCACTCTTATAACTCAACAATAAAAAGAATCCAAACTGAAAAATGAGGAAATATTTGAACAGACATTGCTTCAAGTAAGATACAGAAATGGCCAATCATATATTTGAATCTCTCCCTGGTGCTTGTTGGATGTAATATTTCTTTTTTCAGAAAATTAATGTTATGTTAAAAGAAACCATCTCATAGCTCAGAATTCGTCTGTATACATTTAGCCATACGATCTGAGCTGAGATGGATCTGGGCAGTCAGACCACAAGTTCCAAGGGAGAGAAAAAGGGGTGCTTTTACAAATCAAACCTGCATCCTGGGGAGTGAGGCAAAAGGCTCCTCTCGCACAGTGCAGAGCGTCCCTTCACACGGAAGAAAAACATTTATCAACCAATCCCTATCAATTCCTTAGTTGCACTCATCAGCCTCATCTACCACCTGGGGGAAGCCACAGCCCTGGAGCGAGATGTGAAGTCAAGAGGGAGGTTCTGGATGCGAACGCAGCTCGCAGGCGACCCGCTTTCGTGTGAGGTGCGCAGCAGGGTAAGCAGAGTGCCGGACGTGCGGCCCAGTGCGGTTAGTTAGGCCTCGCTAACGCCCCGGGAGAGGGCAAGGGAGTGAAGCTGGGGAGATGCAGTTCCCAAAAACACAGCCCAGAAAACACGATCCATTCTTTAGGAGAAAATAAATAAATTAAAAAAAATCACACAACATAATGAAATTCCTGTTTGATGTTGAGAGAAATTTCGAGGCTCTTCAGAAAAGCACACGATGAAAAGGCCGGCCGTGGTCTTTGAGGAGCCCGTCGGGGCGGATGCGAATCTCAGAGCAGTGTGCACAGGATCGCCGCCTCTACAAGAGGGCAACTTCAGTGGCCGTGCAAAGAAATAATTTACCAGGTAATCTGTACTTTTCAAGGCAGAGATGCGTAAAATGTGTCTTTTTAGTGACTTCTTGTGTTTTGTGTCTGCCCAATTAAATTTTATGTTTCTGAGTTCTGAAGTCTTCCCTTCCCTCTCTAATATATTCCAGAACTGCCGAGAAAGAGCCGGGCAGCCCTGGCTGTTAACAACCCCGCCGCCTGCCAGATCACACTGATTGGCAGATGCTGAGAGGTACATAATTCTAATGAAGGGAAAGACTAAAATGCAGAACTTCACATCAGCAGAGAACAAATCTAAACAGATAGAGTTGTTGCCTTTTCTCTTCAATCTCCCACCAGAAAATGGCCACTATCTTTCCTCTGCTCTCATCTCACCAGGGGTGAGCTGTACAGGAAGCCAAGTGGGTAGACATCAAAGCCACAAGAGAGCCGGCTGTGTAACCGATGAGAAACGTCTGAAAATTTCTCTGTAAGTCAACAGCAAACTGATATAATCACAAAGACAGGGTGCGTGGATAAAAGCCTTTTTCCCCCCGATGGGGGGAGGAAGTTTGTGTGCTGCCACACGCCAAGCAGAAAGCGAACGATACTTATAAAGGATTGCAAAAGGCTGTATCACTCTTAAGCAAAATTAGCTTGCTAAGGCCCCAGGAACAGGATGGGTGCTCAATAAATGCATATTAAATGGGACATTTCTCTCACAGTGCCATATGCTCTCCATTACTGTAGAAATAGACAGTATGTCCCCAGAAACATCACTGAGCATTATTGCTCTACAGACAATGGGTTCTCAATAGACGTTTTTGTACTAATTTTCTTATTAATGAACTTCAGGTCTGAGTTTTTTAGGCCCAAATTTTAGGTGAGGCTCACGCTCTCCTGTGATGAATCCATTTTACATGGTAGTTTCTGAGGTTGGAAGAGTCAGTTATTAGCTATGATACGCAAAGCAAAATGTTCTATTTAGATTGTCGTCACAATCACTGGACCCCTGATCATATCTAAGAAACCAAATGATATTTCACATTTGACGCCGAAGACGTCAAACCCCAATGCCCCCAGGGATGACAGAGGTGGCCGGTGTAAGACAATAGGGCGGATTGGGACAAAATCAAGAACACATATACCCATTGAAAAGGAAGGGCCGTCACTCAGCTCCAGCTGAGAGGTGATGAAAGTTTTGTTTGTGGGCTGGGGCAGCCACGGAACTGTTTTTTGAAGGATGCCTGGGGTTGTTCCACCTCTGCTATGAAAATCATCCTCGTAGGTGATGATTTCGATGACTTCTAAGTTTACACAGAAGGAGCAAGAGCATACCATCTGCTCCTCTGGTTTCTAAACAACAGGGCTCTTGTTCAGCCAACACCCCGAGAGTCCTGCCTTCGGCCCTCGTCAGAATGCAGTCACAGCCCATCACGATCTGGCTGGCAGCCCTCCCAGCCTTCCCCCAAAACCAAACCAAAACAAAGCGAACCGCAGAGGGAGGCGACGTTTACAGCAAGCATCCTGTCCATCTATTTGTCCAGGCGCACGCTTTCAAAACTCAGGAGTTCTTGAATTCTCTGTGAACACTGCGTAACCTTGTGTTTTCACTTTAACGTGTATCTTAAAAAATAATAATAACGTGAGCATGTGGGTCATCTGGATGGCAGCTCAGAAACTGAGCTCAGTCACGCAACCTGCTTCTTCATGTGGGTTTGTTAGTCACCCGCTGCCCTGAGCTGGGCTTTCCACGTGCATTCCTCCGTGTTGGGGAATCCCCAATTTCAAGAGACGATGCCACAGGCATCCAGGCTCCAGCCGTGTGCCCAAATCATCTCTGAGAACCGCTTTCACGCAGCTGCGTTTTCGTATTTTGCTGCTGCTTTCCTTGAGAAGAGCAGCCCCAGGAAACTGGTGTCTGCCTTGGTGGTGTCAGAGCAGCTGAGGACATCACCTACTGCATGTTCTCACGTTTCCATCTGAGGGGAGTGTGGCCCTGCCCAGTGGGCTTCTTTTCTCTAGACATCAGAATAGTGGACTGCCTCCATTTCCCTTTTCACTCTGGTGGCCAGGAAGCCAGGAACCTGCCTGACGTTTAACTCCAGCAAGTGGACAGATGGACACTCGTGGCCTGCATGGCTGTGGCACCCTTCCTTCTGCTTTTCCCTTTCAGCCTCTACGTACTACACTATGGTTCCAACTCTCTTTTCACATTAATGTTTCACCACTGTGTTATTGTACTTGTCCTCACCGTAAAAGGTGCCTCAAATCCTCTGTGGATAAGCAAGGCTTTCTACACGCACGCACACAAAATAGGCCTCTGCTTTTCTAGGCGATGATAATGAATCTTTGATGTGTGATATCCTTTGATGGTAAACTTATGACCACAGTAAGACTTTCCCAGGGCACTAGGTGGCAAATAAATACCCCCCCACAAGTGTGTGTGTGTAAGGCAGGTGTGCATATGGGTGCATGTACATATGTCAAAAGAAGTCAAACACAGATTTTGTCAGAATTTACGGTTATTTACTCCATTATACATTATTCTGCAGGACTATGAATCTTCATCGTATTAGAGTTTTTAGTCTCATCTACAACTGAAGGAGTAATACTTGAGAGACATTAATAACAGGACAAGAAATTAAGACGAAGATCACCCAATACGTTTATGGTGGCAAGAGAGAGGCACCACTGGAAACACTGTGACTGCGCTTTGCTGTCTCAACACTTTCTCATGGCAGACGGCAGGGCCTATTCCTGAACTCAGAGCTCTATAAAAAGTGAGGCTATCAAGCGGGACAGGCCCTGGAGATGAACCCAAGGCACCGAGGTGGCGGTGTCATCATGAGCTGTCCGAGTCACATCACATCGGTGAGAGATGTAAAGTTCATGTCCTGAGAAGCAAGACACGACACTTGGGTTCCTACAACCAAGAAGCAAGGAAAGCAGAAAGGCACTCGCTCCTCTTCGCCATCCAGAGGGCACAGCAGTGCACGGTTACCAGAGCTGGTATTTCCAGGGGACAAATGACTTAAGCTTAAAGTGTAGGGCAGTAAAAGATGGGGCATCCCCACAAAGAAGCCCTCTGTGGGCTGGTATCAAAACAGCCACCTCCAGAGGGAACTAAGACAGTCTGAATCGGATCACTCACTCACGCACCCAACAAAACCTGGGTGTCCTCCGTGAGGCAGCCCACGCGCTACGATCCACAACGCGAGGACAGGCCGCCGTCCCTGGCAGTTCAGATTCTAGGAGGAGACGGACAGCATACCTGCAGGGTGCTGAGCACTGGAAGAGGGCACTTCTGAGGTGCTCGGAGCCAGGGCAGGGGGCGACTAGTTCTGTCTCAAATGGGACACATTAAATATTCACAGAAAATCATCTACAATCAATTAAACTGCAGTGGTACCAAAGAAAGAAGGTCTGCTTGGCCATTTGCTGGTGCTCAGCAGACAGAACACTCGGCTGGATGATACGGGTGTGGAGAAGCACCAAGAAGAGATCTGCAGATGAACGTGGAACGTTTTTTGCACTTGGGCTCGTAGTGGTAAGGTCAAGTCGGGAAGCTCACCTCGCCTTTTCTATTCCCTGGAATGTCCCAAACAGTGTCTTTGGATGAGAACAGACGGTGGGAATATGAAATAATAACACTATTTGCTCCTGAGGCACAATTCCAAGTGCTTTGCGTACAAAACCTCAATTTACTGTTATTCACTCCATTTTACAGATGTGGAAAACTGAGGTCATTTGGTTCCTGTCTATGTTCTCTCTTAACCACAAAGCCATTCTGCAAGCATTTCTTCAAAGCAAAGCAAAACAACATGTGGCCACTGGTCTAAAAATTACAGGACTCAACTGTCATAAAAGCTTGCCCGTGGGGAGCGGGAGCGGAGGCTTGGAGGAGGGCAGGCCATCTTCTGAACTGACTTCTTACAGGCAGTAGCTGGTAGGGACGTTTCTATACGTGCACTTTTGTATTTGTCCCAATCCATCTTCATGTTCCTTGTGAGTCCAGGCACTGACGAAGCCATGCTCTACAATTACTGACATCTCACTTGAGTTTCCCTCTTTGATTTCCTTCTGAAAATTCTGACGGAGGGGCGTGTTTTAGGTTCTCCTTTCTTCTAGCATCTACCTTCAATGAACACCCTGCCCCCAAACACCAAACCCTCTCACGCAGGGTGAAAGGGAGAGGTGGCTTCTATTTGAAGGAATCTTGTGACTGGAGAATCCTATTTCTGGGCCACAGGGCTCAAACTGAAAGCAGGCCAATGCTAGTGACCACGCGCTGGTGAGAGATGTCCTCTTTAAGCAGGGAAACTGAACCCAGTGGAACCTCTTTTGGGTGTCAGATTGTGGTAGCTCCCATGTGGTGTCAGCTCCACCCATTGCCTCCTGAGGACAGGAGCAACATGATCACAGGTTCCAGGAGCTTCCTTTTCTGATGGATGGAATGATGATCCCCTAACGCCCTTTACCGTATGCTGGGACCGTAACCAAACCTCTCTGAGGGAGCTTCATCAGGTCCCTGAGTATATTCCCTGCCATATAAAAGGCAAAAACAGCTGGATTGAACCCTCCCTCCTCCTCCTGCACAAATGTACACTCTCTGAGAACAAGAGACCCCACGTACCATTAACACATTCAAAGACATCACAGCACTTTCCAGGTGTCCCATCTCCACGAGAGACTATGCGGGGAATGGATCCCACCTCACACACGGGGAAACCACATAAGCCAGAGAGACACTCGCATCTGAAACCAAAGAAAAGGGAAGGAAAACCCCATGAATAAACAACATAGAAGCTGGGAGCCCACAAAGCGGCTGTGGCACACTGACCCCACTACACGGCACCGTCCTGTTTATCTGGTGCCACTGGGGGGTGGGGAGCGGGTATTCCACATAACTAAGGCTCGTCTAAATACCCAGATTTTAACCTTTGACCATTTTAACAGCAATATTCCCCAAATGCATTACTTCATTTCTTACTTAACTAGACCAGTACTGAGCATAACATCTTCTTGATGACTCAGGGCCACTTAGATCTGCATATATTTCACGTTCAGTGAGGCCTGCACGGGCTACCACAGGAGTGCTCCCGAGTTCAATGGCCCGGTGTTGCCGCTTTGTTGCTGACCTTCAGGTATTTTTGAGATTTTTCTGGCTCTTCTTTCAACACTTAAGTTACTGCTTTTCCAGTCTTTCTTTTTGTGTGTGTGTGAGTGTGATTGTGTCCAGTAGCGCCCTCATGTTGATCCGCACGAATTAATTTGTAACTGTGTCTAACCAAAGACGCAGACTCTGGCTGAAGGCCGAGGAGCTCTTTATACGTAAAGGGGGGTCTTCTAAGCTGCGTGTGCCTTTCTCACTACGCGCGCGAACGAGGTGTGCGATGGCCTGCAAGCCGGCTCTGCCGGCTCGCACCCACGACTCGGCTCTGCTGAGACTGGCCTAGACACAGAAAAACAGAGGCAGGTGAAAATCAGAGGAGGAAAATGTGGTCAGCTGCCTGACCCGATCTGTCAGAATGAAACGGGACGCGGGGACGAGAGGCTCGGGGCAGCAGGGTGTCAGGACGTGAACGTGCTGCAGGGAAGGGGCAGCGAGCCGCCTGCCCTGGATCTCCTGGGGACCGAAGTGTGGTCAGAGGGTGGAGAGGGTGACCGAGGGAGTTCCCAGGTAGGCAGACGTGAGAGGACAGTCCTACAGGAAGTACGTGGGTGTTAACATACAGTGCGGGTCAAGAGCAGGAGAAGGGGACATTCCCCGCAGGGAAGAACTATTCACACATCATTACTTCTGTTCTAGCCCCTCCTTGTGTAAGTGATCATTCTGCTCCTCTATTGTTCTTCGGATCTTTAATAAACTAAAATATTCCTGGAGTCCACGAGAACCTCAGTGATCAGGTCCAGAGGTTTAATTACATTTCTAGTTAACTGTAGAACTAAAAGGAAACAAATGGAAGTTAAAATTCACACCAAAGATCACTAAAGCCACGAGAAAGGTGTCAATGACCGAGGCCGGCCCTCTCAGGCTTCTTCCACGTGGGGGACAGTTATAGTGGATTCCGGGGAGGAGATGGTGTTAGATAATTAAGGTTTTGCTGCAATGGTATTTCTGCCAATGGTTTAAAATAAATATCTGTTTTCTGTGAGTGGAGCTGGGAGCTCTCGATGTATAATCTGTATTCCTACAGGGCTGTCACCTTCTGAGACTGAGTCAATATGAACGGGGCTTTTAGTCCCTAGTAAGGTTATCCTATAAGTCTTTCATTTTTATCTGCCCAGCCACTGTAGTACCAAGCACATAACCCTAACACTGTGGCATTACAGCAGCAATAAACTGTTTACATTGATTGTAATTCACACGCTAAGTATTGAGAGGCCACGCCCTGATCCCAATATCTGGGTGTGATTGCAATGAAAGATTCTTACAAGGAGAGCTGGGATTCATATTCTTGCCTACTGATGTGTTCCAATCATTCTCATTTAAACACCGAGTATGCAATCAACCAAAAAATGTATCTTCCTATGTTGTCCTTGAACCCTTCAGTGACCTTCACTGAACAGTGTGTGCCCTTATGTGCCTGGCTCTCTGCTAGGCTGTCAGAAATTATGCCAAGCTGAGAACCATAACTAAGTCTAAGTCTTCTTTTTCCTCTTTAAACATTCGATCTATGTCCCAACATTTAAGTAGCTCTTGTTTTCCTAGAAACTCACACAGGTTTTCTCCAGCATGTTGCAGGAGACCTAAAACTGCATAAAACTGCCTATGACCCCAGTTAGAAAAGGAAACCCTTTTTGCTAAGTTTCACTTCTAAACCAGAATGACTGCACATTAAAGACCTAAGGACTCAGATGCCCTGGTTTTTGCTTGCTGGCGTCCTCCCAGCACCTTTCCGCTTCTCTGCATCTTTCTTGGCAAGCCCTCCCCCGACCTGGTGTCATCTTTTGACTTCTCACACCTTCCCCTGAACTTGAGATTAGGAGATGTTAAAGATCATTAGCACCTTAATATAGAAAGAATTTACAGACAAGGTGCAAGTCTGGGCTCATGGCAGGTATCTGTCAAGCAACCAGCTATGGGGTTGAAACTTTATGAAACAGTTTTTTGTTTTTTTTTAAACAGTCAAATAGCAATTTCACATAGTTCAACATAACACAGTTCACATGAATTATCTCTTGACAGGTATGTCTACATTCACTCTCCCAGGTAACAAATGGGGGACACCATCATGACCCTTACTTGTCAAGGAAATTCATTATGCCTACAAATTAGGTGAGTCCAATGTATTTTTTAAAAGCCTTCGATAAAATTATTCTAGATTCTCCAGTTTACCAACACTGGGGGTAGGTAGTCTTCCCTTTTACAGATGAGAACAGGGAGGCATAGAGCTGAAATTAAGTAAGACTTCCTATCCTATATTTTCCACTAAAAGAGGATGGATTTTTCTTCTACTGAGTCTCGAAGAGGAAATGCTGAATTATAGAACTAAGCGTGCAAACTACACCTTGTCCTCACCCCCCTTTCTCTTCATTTTCATTTATTTTTGTCCCCCGCATCCGCCACCGCCCCAGTCTTCCTCCTACCTCCTACCCCAATGCTGAGTGAAGGGCAAGCCCGGAGGTGCAGGAAGCGTGGACCCGTGGCGGGGAGCAGGCTAACACACGGAGGGGAGATGCTCATTAAACTGGCGTCACCCCCCCTCCCGCCTGAACCCCCCCCAGTGCCTAGGCTCCAACTGGGTCCCCACTCACCCGTCTCTCCTAGTCCCAAACTCCGCCACGCCCACCCTACGGCTCAGCTCCTGTACTTGGCGTAAAGCACCTTCAATTAGGCCTCAGTGGGGTGGTCAGTTTCTCAGCCTCACATCCGACACCCTGGGCCCACGTACCGTCCCCCTTCTCTCCCCCACATACCGTCCCCCCTCGCAGTGCTTCTCCTCACCTGCCTCGCGCCACAGTCACACTTCTGGTCTCCAAACAGCCCCGGCTGGGCTGTCTCTGCCGCTCACCCGCCTGATTCCCTCGCCTCCGGCTGTCTGTCTAGGTGCCACCTGTCCTTCCGGGCCAACCTCAAATAACGCCGCACTTTTTCACGGCCCTTCCCTCCCTGCCATGCGGGGACTCGAGTGCTCATCTTCGCACAAGCTCTCTTTGGGTCTACCACGCGTATTTGTTAAGTCGATTCTTTTTAAATGAGACAGAAATGGGGATGAATAGAAGACGGACAAAACAAAACAAAATTATGTGAGAAGAAAAGCAGTGAGATTTCCATACTGTGAACTAAAAAAACACACTTTAGGATGGGCTATTTGCATGAGACCTAGAAACAGAAAAGCTGAGGGCTTTAAAAAATTAAAAATAAAACTAAAAAAGTAAAAACTTAAATAACAGCTTTATTGGGATGAAACTCACATAGCATAAAATTCACCCTTTTTAAGTGTATAATTCAGTGGTTTATATTCACAGGGTTGTGCAACCAACACTGCCACCTAATTTCAGAACATTTTCATGACCTCGAAAAGAAACCCTGCACTCCCCATTCACCCTCCACCAGCCCCTGGCACCCACTGACCTGTGTTCTGTCTCCATGGACTGGCCCATCCTGGATAGTTCATATACACAGAATCATACAATAGATGGGCTAAGGGCTTTTTAACTTTAAACAAGCAGCAACCTGTATTTGCAATCTACCAGAAAAATCAAGACTCTAATGGTAACCTCAGCATTAACATAACGACCAGTCGAGATAGCCTATCAGTAAACGCTTGCATAATGTAATCACGGCTGCAGCCGGGTGGGTGGGTTAAGCTGTCTTTTTCCTCCAGAACAGGCAAGGATTCCGCTCAGTGGGCATCTGAGTAACAGCACTCAGGAGTCATCTCAGCCCCTAGAGGGCACTCCCTTCCTTAGGAGGCCCTGCTGCCTGGTTCCTGGAGGAGAGGGAGTGCAAACTTCTCTCGCCTTCATGTCGTTTGCTCCCTGGATGACACAGGCGGTCCCTGGCAGGCCAGAGGCCAGAGTCCTGGCACAGCTTACAAGCTGCCTCGAGTCCGGTCTCTCCTTATCTTTTGGCTTCCAGATTCCACCGGTTCCCCCTTATGCCCTACAGTTGAGCAACAATGGCAACATGCCATTTGCTCCATCTACCCACCCTCCCTGCGCCCCTTATCACTCTGTGGCCCAGCTCAGATGTCCACCCGCCCAGAATCCCTGCCTCTCTTTCTCCCCCGGTGAATTCCACACAGCCTAAGACCACCCACTTGACAAGGCCGCCTCTGACAAAGAGCTGGCAGGCTTACCGTTCCCTCCTCTGACCTTCGACAGTACCCCTGGGTACCGTGCTCCTGGAGTATAGCTGCCCATCCTACAAAATAAAAATCCTACTTTTTCTCCTGTGAATTCCCCTAGTGCAGGGGACATGTCTTATTTGCCTTGTAATTGAAAACAGTGAATGATAAAGGCATCTGAGCAATAATCTAGAATAAACATTCTTTCACGGCTAATAAGCCAGAGGTTAGACCATGCATGGTCTTTATAGTTTTTTATTTTTACAAGTTTTAGACAAAGAGCTAATAGGTGCAGTGCTATTCAAAATTAGCGGGTGGAGGGAATGACTATGGAATTTGTCTGGAATGCAGATTGCACGTGCTAAACACAAAGACTGTTTTTTTGCGAGTGTGGTCAGGGCTCCAGAATCTTCCTGCACAATAAGCTCTTCGGGAGATTCCACTGAATGGAACCTGGGACCC